GGCTACAATGTAGCTTGCCATCACCAGTGTGTGAATGGGTGAATGACTGAATGTAGTGTGAAGCGCTTTGGGGTCCTTAGGGACTAGAAAAGCGCTATACAAATGCAGGCCATTTACCATTCTTATATTTTTGCTTGTTCTTCTGTTATTGTATTTTTGCACACCTCTGTTGCTTGTGAAGCTCGCACACAAGAATTTCACTCACATGTACTGTACCAGTGTACCTGCACATGTGATGTGACAATAAAGTGATTTGATTTGAAGTACTAAGCCAAGAAATTCTTTGTGAAATGGAAAAGTAAATGCCACTTTATGTAATGCGTTTGTTCATACATACACATACTGATTGACCTAAAAAGATGTAACTCTTAGACCCCCTTGTATTCATAAAAATTCGACCAGTTGCCACGCAAGAGAGTTGAAAGAGACTTTCAGGTCTATTTTCATTTTTTCCAAACAAACGGACTATTCATTTGCCCCAAACAATGACAAATTGATACCAAATACACCCAAGTGAGAGCTGGTAAATAAGGTCAACTCAGCCACATACAATGAGATACTAGTGTGGGAAAAGAACAAAGGACGAAAGTGAAAACAGTAACCCTAAAAGTAACGCAGCAAGTAAACTGAAAGAAGAGCAGACAAGAAGAAAACACACACACACACACAAAAACAAAACAAAACAATTATGACATTTTTACTGGCATCTGTCCAATATTTACAGATTTATCATTTTTGCCCCCTTTTTTCTAACTGTGAGTTCACAAGGTATTGTTTTTCTCCCTTGAATGTCTTTTAAACATCAAACATTAAAACATGAAATTTTCTGCAACAATATCTCAGAAGGTCAAGCTTTGGAAAAACACTGTTTGTTCATAGTCTATGATTGAAAAGTACCCAGTGAAATGCAAACTGGCTAATAGCTGCTTAGAGCTGTGCCATGAAGAAGTAACATGTTAAGCCTCACTTTATTATTGCATGAAATGTGCAGGCCTTAAGGATTGCTAATATTGAGCATTTACTGAACAATCCTAATATCATCCTACTAAAAGTGGACAACACGCGTTCAGTATGTAAGACATCTCAAATGCACTGAGACTGCTGTATCAATGTGAGAGCTTTAGCTATTCAAAATCTTAAAATGTGAGGATGCACTTTCTACACATTTGCATGCACACATGATTCACAGGAAAAGCCAGCGGCCTGTTTGGCCTCCGAAAACCTTAACTAGTAATTGAATCTGGGTGTCAGCATGACCAAATCCTACTTGACACCCCCCTTCCTTCTCTCCTCCCGTCTTCTCTCTCCCTCTCCGATCCATCTGATGACTCTGGCAATCTGCGTGTCATGTACAATTAAGTGGATCTGGAGATGTAGAGAGGGAGATGAAATTTAAAGTGCTGTAGAAATTAGAAGTGATGAAGTACGGTGGTGTGTGCCGATGGGATCCCCAGTGGTTAGAGCTCTGACACACTGTAGAGGTGACAGGTTTCCTCTGATCAGGGCTGCACACGTGGCAGAGCAGGGTTGTCATAATAATAATAAGTGTATAATTAAAAAAAATGTATACATACTCATAACATTTGCATTTCCAGTGTTTATAAAAGTGGCTCATTGGGTTACATGTTTTTGTGTGGGTTGCTACTCATTGTGTATACAGTAATATTTCATTCGCAGCACATTTCTGTATCTCACTGATGGTTGCTTTTGGCTTTTTTTGGCATCATTTACATTTTTTTTCATGCCAAAATTCTAAAAATGTGTTCATATTTGTGAAAATGTTTTAACCATTTGTTTTCAAGATGCAGTGCATGTACAGGCCATCCTTTTCTCGCTGCCTGTTTCCTAATGTGATAATAATAATTTAAAGGAGACGAATTCTGGAGTCTAAAACACAACATATGCTATCCATTCAGGCAGCTGAAAAACATTCCCAAACATAGTTAGCTGTCAGTTTTTCTTTTAATGAGCAAAATTTCTGACTTGCTAGTCTATATTTTCTTCTTTCATTAAATCATGTGTATGGAGAATGAAAGTAAGCAGTGATAGATTCAAGTGATAGATACTTTATTAATTATAAAGAGAATTTAGGCATTCAGTAGCTTGTTAAACACAGTGCATCACACAGGAGATAAACAGCAAATAGACTGGCTCTTATACAGTGCTTTTCTGCTCTATTTGAGCACTCGGAGCACTTATACAAAATGCCTCATTCACCTATTCACACAAGCACTTTCTAAGCCCAAGTGCTCTGTATCTAACATTCACACTCTGATGAATGCATCAGACTTGAGGTTCACATTTTTCTTGCACAAATATGTTGGCTGGCAGGAAGGAAAACCACAAACCTTCTGATTAGCAGATGACCTGCTCAACCTCTTGACCTACAGCCACCCCAAAAATCGTCCTGATGTCTGATTCAAGCAAGCGTTCTCCTAACTGGGTCTTTCTCATGAACAGGTTTGTACAGCTGGGCGGAGCTTCTGTGCTTAAGGCTAGAGGAGTGTGCTTGAGATGACCATATTAGGAATATCCTCTCTTACCAACAGTCAGAAACTGTCTGAGCTTTTGGCTCTCAGGGATTATTTGTACATGGGATGATTTCATTGTAAAACTAATAGTATATTTACGACAAAAAGAAAGGGAAAATCTAATCAAACTGCTTGTCAACTGTAAATTGTAAGAGCATACGCCTTTGTATTTTTGATTCATGTTGGATTATATATCAGTTTGTTTGATTCATACTGATTGGTATTTGTTTCGATCTACTTACAAATTGCATTTTTCTTAAGACTAATTACATGCCATTAATGGTGCAACCAATAAACAAGCACGTCAGAAAACTAAGTTGCGATCTTTTTTTCTCTGCACACACGCAGACCCAATCCTCTCAGAGCCCACGTCTTTCCCTCAGTGATAAATGTCAGCCTCCCTCCTCCTGAACAGATATCGATGGTTATTTGGGCTTATTTCTCCAATCTGTTGTTCACCTCAGAACGGAGATGGAATCCATTTCTGCCTGGTTGGCAGCGAGGGTGACTGTAGGACAAAGTAATTTGGCTGGCTGGCACCCTCTAGAATCTCTCTGTCTGAGCTGCTGAGCTATCTCAGCCCTATTTCCAAAGTTTACCTCACACAAACAAGCGCTCACAAAAACCCCTCAGATCTCTTCTCAAAGACGCATAAACTGGTCTAAGGCTGAAGGAAACAAAGTGCAGACATTTGGAGAAGTAGTTAAGTTTGATCTGGCTTTTGCAAACAATCTGAGCAGGTATAACAAAACAAAAAGGACATATAATACAAACATTTTATTATTTATCTGCCATTTCAATTTAAAAGTATATATCAAACTCTAAACATTTCATTCTTTCAATAAAGCATGTGATTGATTTTTTTTGCAGGACAAAGAAGAACTCCATAATCAGTTGCTTGTTGGGGGCTGTAGTGTCCAAAAGGGAACCCAGCTGTAGCAACAGAGTGGACCCAGTGGGTCGAGAAATAAAAATATGTGTCATTCCAAAAACTGCAAAAAAAACCCCAACAAACATTTCAAGCCATGTCCAAAACCAAGCACCAACCTCTCTTCAAGTACCACACAGGCATGTTGGAGTCAGGGTGAAAAAGAGTTTCAAGTGTAAGTTGAAGTGAATTAATTTATTTTACATGAAATATTTATGGACCCCTAGCCTTCAGATTTTTACAGAAAAGAGAGGGATTTTCCAAAGAATGGAAATCCAATTTGTCACAGAATCCTGGGTCACACAGGGATGACACACTATGTATATTGGTAATCTAGCAGTTACAAATATCCCATAAATTTGTCCATACAGTTTAGCAAAAGCTACATAGACTCACTAAAGAAATGGTTTAGGTAAAAGGCAAAGAAGTTACTTCAATTAAGCCTGGCCAACAACGCCGTACCAAAAATGACATATCAATAAAACATAGATAATCACAGTAACGATTTGCATTGTAAACATGTTAAATTTATGTTGGAAGGCTGCTATTTGGCAGTGGAGGGACAAAAGTGTATTTGGATAAAAGGTGGAGTGTGTTTCTCAGATCCCACACGCAAGATGTTTGGAATTAAACCTTAAAGGCATCAAGCACCATTGTTATTGTTCGGGTGTTTCATTTGTAAAGGCAAAAAATGCAGATTTCACGAGTCAAGGTCTAACAGTCCAACTCCAGCTCCCTAACTAGCAAGGCACTTTTTGATCTGGAAAAGTAAAAAACTAAAATAGAACGATTATTGTAAGAAAACAGGGAAGGAAGCTCTAGGAGAGGGGAAATTTAAAACTAGCTGAGCCTGCTGCGAGCGATTTAGCTCATTAATGTAACACTGGTGAAAAGTGAGAACAATTGTGCCATTTGACTGTGGTTTTGATTGACTGGCTCTACTTTTTCAACATTCACCTCCTGCTTTTCCCCTGAAAACATTATTTTGGTAAATCCAATCATCATCTGATTGTACTCATCTTATATTGAAATGAGGTCCATAAATGGGATATGATGGTGCCTTCAGGGGCTTGATTGGAATACTAGAATTTTTACTGGAGTGCACATATAAAATAAAGAAATGGTAAATATGTAGACAGTCAAGTTGAAACTGACGACTTTGTTCTGTGTCAGTGTAAAATGTGCAAGGGAGTGCAGACGGTCTCTGTGAGTGACGAGGTGTTTTGTTGAACTACTGTTGGGTGGACAGGTCAGACAAAGGCAGCTCCGAGGTCCACACACCTTCAGTGAATTCAAGAAAACTCTGTGTGTGAAGCACACTTCATCGAGCGTGCCGTTTCAAAGGTCGGTGGTGATGACTGGTGTTACGCCGTGGATGAGCAGCGTAGGGCCAAGGTCCTGAGTCAGCAGCTCCAGCTGGCGCAGGTAAGCAGTATAGCGGCGGGTGTCAGCTGGGGGGCGTGGCAAGTACAAGAAACGCACAGCGGGTTGGGGCCGGGACTGATCCAGGATCAGCTTGTTGACAGCTGAAAGGTAGTCATCTGACACACGTGTGGCGTTGCTTGGGAAGCTGTTGACGTAATCTTCTTCGTTCTCCTCATCCTCCTCCTCCTCAGGTTGCAGCTTCTTCTCTTCCGTAGTAGCATCCAGCTGTTTCTTCCCCCAGTTGCCTTGACGCTGCCAGTGTAGTGCCACCTGCTGATCCCAAGGCACAGGGTGGATCTGAGCCTTAATTCTCAACTCCTTAAGCAGCTGGCTGAGCTTCTCCTCCGGGCCCCTCACACTTCGGCCCTTCTCAACACACAGGAAGAGACGCAGTGTAGCTTTGCGCCAGTCCCGCACCATGTTAAGGATACATGCCAGCTGCAGCAGGAATAGAGAGCAGGTATCCACATAGCTACAGCTGTCTGGGCGTAGGAGGTTGACTGGCCAGACATCCACATACACAGCTCTCTTCCCGGGAGTGCAGGAGGGAGGTGAGAGAACCTGGGCTCTGTCAAAGTTGTTGAAGTATCGAGCTAGTACCACGTTCTTGAGCATCTTCATGGCATCAGCAATGATAGCTACATACTCCTGGGACCCTAGAACCTTTCCGTCTCCAAATTCACCATAGTCCAGTCTGTTACTAGAGCCCCGCAGGGACACAAAGTGGAAGAGAGGAGGTTGCTCAGGCTCCTGAGAAGGACCTGAGGGATCCGTGGACTGAGTGCTCGACATTGACGGATCAATCAGTTTGTCTTTTGGAAGACAGTCATCATAGAAACCCAGGACAAGGGTGTTAGGACGCATCCCACCTGGGAAGAGGAAAGGCACAAATTATTTATTTTATTACCATCATTCATTTCCTATAATGCTGAGAGTGGAAGACTTAGAATGATTCACAATATGTCCATTACATGGCCTGGACTGAAAGTGAGCAAAAGAGCAACCGATGGCTAAAGAAAATTTTTAACAGACCTTATGAAAGCCTGGAGAACTATTACTTAAGACAACTTGAACAAAATAACAAGAAAATCTGGCTCCTTGGAAGCAAAATATATAGAACTAGTGAGTAACTCAAGACTTTTGCGCAGTACTGTATGTTTTGTGGCTCTGTAAAGACCTTTTTGATCAAATGTGACTCTTTTGATATGCTGCCAGTCCTTGCCCTTGGGGCGGGATTAGGGTTATGGTGCATTTCAGGCATGTTAAATAAACACATTTACATAGAAACTACAAGAAGTTAAAATCAAGTGCATTTTGGGCACATAGATAAAAAGTGCAAATAGCAGTTTGGATATCGCAGCTCAATAACTGACACAGCATATCATCTTAGAGTGTTAACGTGTCTGCTTCTGGATGTTTGGGCAGTTTAGTTCAATACTTGAAACTCTGAGTAAACATAGTAACCAAACCACTGGTTGAAGAGCAGGTACTATTTTTTGACAGTCTAAATAATAATATAATATAATGTAAATGTAAAAACATTCATTAGGCATTGGCTTTAATCAAACTGTAAGTACGTGGAAGGAACAAAAATCATATTAGTATATTGATACTTGCCTTTGAATTTAATAATAAGGACAATGTGCGTTATTAATAGGGGTACTGACCAAGTCCTGAAATGAAGAGGAGATGTTGGACACCATGACGTACAGAATCAGCTAAGGTCAGGTTGACAAAGGCTTTGATATTTAGATGGTCCACCAGGGACAACCAGGACTCATATTGGGCCTGCAGAGGGTCAGACGGCAAAGTGTCTGGAAAAAAAAAACATAAAGTTGAATTGCACTAGAAATACATCTGACAGTTGAACAGAAGTGTGCTAAGATTCAGAGAATGAGAAGGAAATGGACCCAGAAGCAGGAAAGCCAAAAAGTAAAAGGAGGGAGTGGAGAAGTGAGTTGACAGAGCTGGAATTAGAGGCAGAGCGTGAGTGAGATGCAAGAGAGCATGCTGAGATATGGAGGAGAGGGAAGAAACAGAAAGATGCAAGCGCAAATGACAGTGTAGACAGACTTGGATAAAGAATGAAAGATACAGGGAAGCACAAACAGGCGAGCAGGTGATCAGTCATCCCAAAAAAAAGCATCAGCATGTATGTAGAGGGCCATCCAGAGGCCACGTCTACAGGCGTCCTGTGGTTGTTTGAACTGTGCTAGAAGCTGCCATGTATTCCATTCAGCTTTAAGGCAAACAGCTGCTGCACAATTGTAAGCATAAATGGGTAGACTCAAAATAGATTAGCAGGGCAATGTGCAAATCCTCAACAACAAACTCCACTTCAGTGTAATTATGTGAATGAATAGCTCGCTCATATTTCTCAAGACCAAGTGGCTCGTCAAGTGAGAGAAGGGCCCTTCAGCGGCTAATGAACATATCATTTTTTTCCACTGTGAAACACAAAGGATTTGGACTGGGAGCACTCCATTCATGGCCAGTCCCGGTCTGCCATCATCTCCCCCACCCCTTTACACCCCACGGAAGACAAAGAAAAAGACAATCAATGACCTTGCCCCTTGAAAATCTGCAAGTGTGTAGAAAGGAGGTGCCTCCAGAGCTTTGTGCGTGCGATTACTTCCCTCGACAGCAGCAGATGAGGCGATGTCAAAGAGAACGGGTTAGCATTCTGAAGAGGTCCATTAAACAATGAACCGCTCAGTCTGGAACTTTGGACTGCATTGCCAACATAGAGGCACATTTCTCACTCATATACTTTCCATATTTGGCCATTTTAAACTGAACCAAAATGAAAGGACTTCAGTGATAGTGGTATATTTGATATATTTTATAGCAATACAGTTGAAGTTCTCAGGGAAAGAAGATTTTTTGTTGCCTCTGCTGCTTTTAAATATCATAATCATGTTAAAATCCTCCAAAAACAATATCTTCTCAGCATCCCATATTTATTTTGCTCATAATTAATAGTCTCTCTCTCACACTGAGTGGGTGTACATGAGAAATGGTGCAGAAGTAAGCCTTCGAATCTTCCTAATGCAAAAGTCACTGGAGAAGAAGCTGATTAAATAAATGAAAAAAGTTTCTCGAGGTTTAAATCGAACTTTGGTGTTCTTACTGAGGTCTCCGAGCTGGACGTGTCCCAGCACGTACAGGCCGCTCTTCTTGATGTCGTTGATGAAGGTGATGAGGCCCACGCTACTGCGAGGGTTGGAAACCATGAGCAGGATCTGAGGTCTCCAGAATTTGACGTGGTCCTTCCTCACGTCCAGCATTAGCAAATACTTACGCACCTAAAGGTTGAAGAGAGACATGTAAGCAGAGCTGTTGGAGAATCTGTGCGTTTTTAACCCCATAAACTCCTACTTCACTAAACCTGCATTCCATACAAGCCTCTAGTTTGACTTTCACTAAATCTGAGTTGTATCTGCAGCTGTCTCATGCTCAAGTCCATTTGAGTCCCACCAAAATAAATATCCAGATGTGACTGAACTTGCAATGACCTAAATTTTAGTTTTTTCACTTAATGTTAATTTCCATAATATCTGATATTGTGCAGGGGAAAAAACAACACTTCAAGCTGAAATTGCCAATATATGTGTTTTGCTCACTTTTCTGTGTCTGTTTTTTTTGGCAGGAAGAAAAATTGACTTTTATTGGTCCTGAGATTTAGCATGAGGTACATTAAGGAAGGTTTCAGAAACTATGAATTTCATTCCTCTACCATCTGTACAGGCAGTCATCTTTAGAAAGATTTTTTAGCAACTTCTTCAACAACAGAAGCCGGCTTTCTTCTAAAGCAGTGGTTCCCAAACTTTTTTTGCTGGGCCCCCCTTTGTTTTACAAGAAAAATATTCTCCCCCCCTTGCGCGCGCACACACACACAAACATCCTCCAACCACACACACCCATATTTTGCTCCATTGCAGTTTATTTCACACCTCAAACATTTAGTAAACAATTAAGCAAATACAAGTAATCTGCAGGTAGTAAGAAAATAAACTACTAACTCTTTTACGCTGCGTCTGCACGTACACGGGTGATTTTGAAAAGGCAGCTGTTTCGTCCACATGTAAACGGCGTTTGGAATCACCGAAAACTGAGATTTTTTAAAACTCCTTTTTTGGGTTTATATGTGGACGAGGAATACGGAGTTCGTCACGCAACGTTTTCCACGTCACGCTGTTATTGTTTACATGAGATGAATGGCAGATAGTCAGATTAACAGTATTTTGTCTCTATCTTCAGGTTTTACACGCTTACATACACACATGCAGTTACTGTCCCTCCATTTAGAATTCAGAGGCGTCACTGTGTAATTATTTTACATGTACTTGTTTTTTTCCTGTGTAATAATATTCAACATTTCTATCAATACATTTTTCAAAAAATGCCTGTGCAGGTGAAACCAAAGGGAAGATATGCTTCACCAGATTTTCTAGTCTTTGGCTTAGAATGAAGTTGGTTTGGAAACATATTCAGCGATGCTTCATCTCCTGCTTTGCGTTTGTGTGGGAGCCCTGTGCTAGCAGTGTCCAAGCGTTGTTTTTTTTTCCCTTTTCATGCTGCGCCCCCCCTGCAATGGGGCCCCACACTTTGGGAAGGTCTGTTCTACAGCTTGTAGCAGTGACCAGTGATGAAGTTCCCACAGGACCAGGGATCCCAGTTCAACTAAAGCCTGATCCACACATGTCCCTGTACCAGACACCACCATGGTTTTGTTGCCATGGATGAGAGGTAGATAAAGTATTTATAGTGTATAGAATAAAGTACTCTATAAATGTATGGTTGAAGTAGTCTCTAAAACTAGAAAAAGGCTATATAACCACTAGTCCAGATCCATCCATTGAATAGTCAGACATGTTAAGATGTTTATATGCATGTATAGATGTGTGTCATTCAGACTGTTACTGTGAAAAATGTGCCCATGTGCTGCTGCTTATGAATGTACACTTAAATGCCAGAGTGTATTAGAATTATATATATTATATATATTATTATATTTTACAATGCAAGCAATCATGCAGCCATCATCAGGATTCACGTTGATAAAATTGGCTCAAGGTACCATTAAGGAAATGTAGCTCAGTAGAACCAAACATTAGGACTAAACAGCAATGATTAACGCTGACTACATATTGATCATTAACTCTGATGACATGTTAAAGCTGCATCCTACGCAGCCCAATTTATCTCTATGATAGAAAATGGTAATGGACAATTCCATGCTTTTCTTCAGACTTTTTGGAGTTTTGAGTGTTAAAACCAAGGAGCAATTTCAGGGCTGAAAAGGAAAATGTGACAAGACTGCTGTTCCTCTACTGACCAATTGGGGCTGGCTGAAAAAGCAAAGACATTCCAGTCACTGCCCAACTTCACAGCATTAAATAGAAATGATTACACTCTGATTAAAAAAAAGAAAGAAAGGAAGAAATACTTGGGTCTGTACAGATATCATCACCTTCAAAAAGTACAAGGTGGGTGAATTTTCTTTCTATGTATTTGGACACCAACAAAGCCTGAAGGAAGGACTGGTGTACTCTAATTATCTGACAAATATTATGGACTGGTGTGCGGTACAACAAATGAAAAATGTTTGTGCTTCAGTTCTGGTGAGTGAAGTTATAGTATTTTATTATCTGTTACTTAACACTAATTAGCACATACACATCTATGTATTTTGAACGTGTCAAGGTTATGGATGCACCTAATAAACCAATCTTGCCAACATTAGTGGATAACTTAAAACTAGGGACGTGTGCGACCAGTTGACCACGCTATTGTCACTAGTCAGTACCAGACGTATTGGCATTTAATCCGATTACTATCATTTTAATTGATGCTGAAATACTTTTAATTGTTGTGTTCTGTTATGCAGCGATGTGCCACCAGATGGAGCATCACTGAGAAATGAGATTGCAGGGAAATGAGCGATTTCCAAAGGGTGGAGGGGCTCTCGAAAGAGGAATTCAATAATTCGAGAGAAGTTCAGAGCAGAGCCGCTGCTCCTCCACATTGAAAGGAGACAGCTGAGGCATAAGGTTAAGATGTTTTAGCCAGGGTTGGCCTACTGGGAGGAGGCCAGGGGCTAGCCGAGGACAAGCTGGAGAGATTACATCTATTCTTACATCTGGTCTGGGAATGCCTCGATGTTCCTCCAGATAAGCTGGAGTAGGGGACTGACAAGAGTGAGGTCTCGGCTTCTCTGCTTAGGCTGCTGCCCCCGTTACCCAACTCCAGATGGGTGAAGAAAACAGGTGGATGATTTATCATTTTGTTGTTTTAGACAGTAGTTGTCATGAATCTTTGAACAGCATTCATAATGCACCACACTTTTCAGCTGCAGTTTATCAGTTTTTCGGATATTTTTAAAATACATGGACTTTTTTTATAGTAAAGAAATCGATTTAGGAACCAGGCACATCAACTAATTCATTTCAAAACCATACACAGAACATACATTACACCCTATAAGAGATTCCAGATGAAACTACAGGATACATATCACTGTCACATATGCAATGATTCATCACCAGGCACGTTCTTACACATGTTATGAGACTGTCCATTTATATCCAATTTTTGGGTCTTTGTGAACTCTGTGTTATCTGAGGTGCTGGAAGTTTTTTTATATCCCCAATCCTGGTATTTGTCTCCTCAATGATACCTCTGAAATCTCCTTAAAACAAATACAATGCAAAATGTTGTTCACCGGATTCACATCCGCAAAGAAGAAAATTACAAAGCAATAGTTCAGTCCTGACATTTGTATGGAATCATTCTGGATACGATGTCTTATCCGTATCATTAATCTTGAACATACCACAGCAAAATTAAATAAAGCTCGACCCACGACTGTCGAAGCTTGGAAAATCTTCTCATCCAAAGTTATCTCCTGGAAGAGGCAAGAACTGGTTGTAACTGTGTGTTTTTTCTTTCCTGTCCCCATGCCTTGTGACCAATGTTTGCTTTGCTACTGCAGTTTACAGTCATGCTGTATATGTCTGTACACCCCCAACCCTGTTGTAAATCAATAAAATGTTGATCACAAAAAAAAAGAAATCAATTTAATATCACATTTCACAAAGAGACTGTTTGTTTGAAATACGACGTGCAATGTTGATAATGTGTGACGCGAGGTGCCGCTCAATTAAGCAGTATGATTCATTACTGAAGAATGTGATTAATGGCTTCAAATGCCTTTGTTTAGATTGATTTTGACATTTTCCATTAATCGATTCACAAATTCAGCTTGATATAATAATAATGGATTGCATTTATATAGCGCTTTGCAAGGCACCCAAAGTGCTTTACAATTCCACTATTCATTCACTCTCACATTCATACACTGGCGGAAGCAAGCTACAGTTGTAGCCACAGCTGCCCTGGGGCAGACGGACAGAAGCGAGGCTGCCATATCGCGCCATCGGCCCCTCTGGCCAACACCAGTAGGCGGTAGGGTAAAGTGTCTTGCCCAAGGACACAATGACCAGGACAGAGAGCCGGTGACCTTCCGGTTACAGAGGCGCTTCCCAACCCCCTGACCCATGGTCGCCCATATCTGAGTGTTATTTAGTTTTAGAGAAGTCGGTTAGTCTAATTTTTCCCCCCCGTTTAGTCAGCTGCCAGGAACATCTCTATTTAGCACACCACCCTCTGGTCCAAATATTCTGGCTCCAAAAAACGGACATGGCAACAGCGACTGCTGCTATTGTAGAAGTTTCAAAATGCCAATCGATGGCATAACAGTAGCTTTTATTTGCAGTCTATGGTTAAAATTGGTGTTCCTGGTATAAAAGGAAAGTTGGGGAGGAAAAAAATAGTTTGAAAACCTTTAAACACATTCAGACACTTGCAGGGTGACTATAAAACAGACAAATGGAAAACTTCACTTGAGAATATCCTAAAATAGTTAAAATGACTTCCACTTAAAAGTACTTTCAGGGTGTGCTTCATTTTATGGACTATAATCACTCTTGTGCTGCAGCTGGAGTTTAGCCTGAAAATGCCTCGAAAAAGCCTCTGACAATAACGACTGTCTTAACAATCCAAGTTCAGCTCAAGCTGCTGAGTTTATGTTTGTGTGTACATGACTATCAATCAAAACTTGAGGATTATTATAGCATTATTATATACATGATTGTCACACTTGTTTTCGTTTTTTTGCTGTAAAACACACACACACACACACACAAAACATGGTCCCAGAGGCAGCGTCCAACTGCCTCCACTCATCTAATCATCTGTCTTCCTTTATCTCTCCATTTTCCCATCTTCTCATCCATCAGACTATCATCATTTCACTGTCGCTTCGGTCTCATCCATCACTTAGTTTCTCAATCACTCAACCCCACTCCCTCCTTATATTCCTGCTTCCTTCTTTCTCTTCCCATGATACCATCAGGCTTTGGTGCCTCAGTTTGTCTTTTTCTCCTCTCACTTTCTTTCCTAAACTCTGTTGTCAGCTGCTTGTTATCTCCAATTGAGATTTTTTTGTTGCTGTTGCTGTCGTTGTAGAATGCTGTGTTTTGTTTTTGTTGCTTTGCTTCAATGTCATCCAGCTGGCAGACCGCCACACTGGTTACTACTCGAGGGTGCAGGAGCATTGGACAAGTGTATGCATGAGCTCAGTAAATGTGCATGTATGGTCTCCTCTGCTGAGCCCATCAGTATAATCATTTGCGCTCTTTGCCTGGGGAGGTTTGAAAGCTCGGAGGGCCAAGCTGAGGCTCATTTGTGAAATGAGTATTCAAAGGGTTTATGACTTACATTTTAGATATTTGGAAATAAGTGCGGATGCACTGATATAAGTACCTCGTTGTTTGCCAGCAGCCTATTGGCATTAAAGATGACATTCGCAATGGCAATGTTTATCTAGAGTGTCAAATCAATTTTGCGCTGGATAAATATTCAAACACATTGTGATTTAACAGGTCACTTAATTTTATAATGACATAACAAAACAACAACAAAAACACTGGAATTCTAACTGACTGTCAGCCAAGCTGTTTTTAAAAATATGAATTACAGCCAAAGACTGTAAACAAAAAGTGGATGTAGTTGCCAGATCTGAAAAGTGATCATTCCCTAATGGCCAGCCCCCATGTGGGATTTGAACATGTCTAAGATTTCTAGTAGCTTCACCTGTGGGATGAAAATCCTTTGTCACCTCGTTTGAGTTATTGTGTTCAGAGTTTTAGAAAATTTGACCTCTAACTTTAACCTTGAAGTTGAAGTCACTGAGATTAATGTACCTATGGTACTAATTTGAAAATCGTACACCACCTGGTTCTCAAATTATCACACTGATGAACTCTGGTGTCAACGGCAACAGCCCGCCCATCAGCCTTTTACAGCTGAGGGGTAAAAAGCTATGGCAGCTATTATATGGATTAAAAACTATAACAAAGGACTTTACATAATTATTATAATAATAACTACACATAGATTGAGTGTTTAATAATGGAATAGAGATTCATAGATTGACTGATGATATGTTAAAATACATTTTAAATATTATTCAACTACTGACAAAGCAGTAATATGACTGACCAGCTAAGTGCAGGTTTAAATAAACCAGTCTTCAGCCCTCATCCATACCTATCACCACCATTCTGGTAAACAGAGCTATCAAGGGTGGCCAATTGAATTACTTGAGAGTAGCTGCTGCCTCAGTGTTGTGTCTTGTGTAAGAGAAACTGCAGAAGTGGGAGGAGATGATACTAGAAGAAAATGGGAAAAGGGGGTGGTGAGGATTTGGAGGAAAAGTGCAATAAGTTAAGTGGTTGTAATCATGTTCTGCCTCCTGACAAGCGAGTGGCAAACCCAGACACCCTCTCTGCAGCCTTGGCAATGACTCCCCCACTCGGCTGTGGGCCGTCCTGGCAACGGTGGGCTGTCTCCTTGAGAGCAACAGGCTGGCCCGCTAGAGGACATGAAGAGCTGGATGATGTAAAGCTCTGTTTGTGTGTATCAGTGTCATAAATGTAAAGAGCTTTGCGGGGGAATAGATGTAGGTGTGTGTGTGTGTCTGCTAAGCCTGATATAAAGGTGACAGATAGCTGCTGTAGGGATGACAAGGCGGCATGAGTGAGAAAAGAGAGAGGGGAAAATGTGTGTGTTTGTCTGCTAAATGCAAAATCATTGGCTGAGGAGAGGCAGCGGAGAACTGTCTGTGTTTGTATTCGTTTGTGTGTCTCTATAAACCTGATAGAATGGTTGCTTGGCAGAGGTACGGGCTCTTGTAAAGCTGAGGGGATGAGATTTTAGTTGCTATAGTAATGACAAGGCAATACTGAGTGTGTGTTTGTGTGTGTGTGTCAGACCTGGTGGAAAATGAGAGCCTGGCTGATGTAGCCCCAGCTGGAGGTGGGACTGAGGTAGTGAATCAGCAGAAGCAGCAGGAGCATGAAGGCGATGCTGGCCGAGGCGTAGATGGCATTGATGAGGAACATCATGATGGCGCAACCGATGATGCCCAATATGCAGGTGTGCCAGGTGAAATAACGAAAGGTGGGCCTGGGGAGAAAACAAGGGTGGTGAAGAGAGCACCACATTAGAATATTAGCCAGCCCCCCACCAGCCCTCCAGAAAAACAGACTGCAAACCTCTGAAGTCATTCAATACTGGAGGGATATTTGTGCTTTTTAAAAAAAATTGTTTTCTAACTTAATACTCATTACTATTTTCTTACTAACTAAATGGTTTTGACTCTTCTAATATTCTAAAGATGAGATATTGCTTTGCTTTCAAATCAAGCCTTGAGAAACGAGAGAAAAAACCCTGCAGGAAACAAACGCAGTTTAACTCTCTGCTCTATGCCTGTTTCTTTTTACTTGTTTCCCAAGTTCATTCAAAAGGAGACCAAGTGTGCTTGGTCTGCACTGAATGCATTCACATAATCTACACCAAGTTCAGATGGTACTATAGGGTATAAGGTTTTTCTGAAATTATCAACCAAACAAATAAGCAGACACTTGTAAACCAACTATAGTAAACTGTTTCAGAGTATTTAAAGTTTAGTTGCATTGAAATAAAGGTGGGTGAGCTCTACAAAGTTCTGGCTGTGTAAGGGGTACAGATTTAAACTGCCAATCTCCCTTTCACAATAACTTCTATCAATAGCAGCATAGCTTTGGTTTGGCTTTTTAAAAATGCAAATACGCTTCTACTGCAGAGCCCAGTGAAATTTGATGTATGAAAAAACAGACATTGCGAAGGCCTACTTTACACTTTAAAATTGACATTTTATAAACAAGGGCAACACAAACAGACCGTCTGAAATGTCTGTAAAATTCTGAATCCCACGTAATAAACAGCATGGTCCATTTGTGCGTCGCTGTTTGATTGGACTCCTTCAGAGGATACAGTCAGACAAACCTTTTGTTAGTGACCAGCTTCCGTCTCACACCTCTGAAGAAAGATTTCCCAAAATGTCAGAATGTTCTTTAAAATGAGAAGGATTTAACAAACCACCAAGGAGTTTAGTGAAACAGCAGCTGCAATGGAATGAAGATTCTCCTAACATGGCTGTACATGTACTTGGGCTGAGAAAGATAACTAAGGGAAGGCCCTACTGAATGAGTAATGTCTGGCAGGAGCAAAGAATTACATTCTCAGCCAGAATAGTACTGCTCCCATTCTCCAGTCAATTTTTATTAGCAATTAGCAGTTGCTAATTTTAGAGTTAGCAACTGCTAACTGCTGATTTAATCAGACACCAACTATGCTTTTAATACTTAAATAAGTACTTTAAAGGATGTCTAATCAGCCAATCACATGACAGCCAATGAATGCGTTTAGACACGTTCACATGATTAAGACAAGCTGCTGAAGTTCAAACCGACCATCAGAATGGGGAAGAAAGGTGATTTGAGTCAGTATTTCAGAAACTGCTGATCTACTGGGGTTTTACCACATAGCCATGTCAAGATTTTTACAGAAAATGGTCTGAAAAAGAGGAACTATCCAGTGAGCAGCAGTTGTCTGGGTGAAAATGTGTTGATACAAGAGGTCAGAGAAGAATGGTTAGACTGCTTCAAGCTGATAGGAAGGCAAAAGTAACTCAAATAACCACTCGTTACAACCAAGACATGCAGAAGAGCATCTCTGAATGCACAACATGTCAAACCTTGAGGCAGATGGGCTACAGCAGCAGAAGACCACGCCAGCTGTCACTCCTGTCAGCTAAGAACAGGAAACTGAGGCTATAATTCACACAGACTCATCTAAAAGTAGAGAACAATTATTTATTTATTCATTATTGTTATATACATATATATATTTATTTTTTCTACTTTCTTTTACCTCCTCAGTTATTTTACTTTTCTTTTCTTTTTTTCCGTCTCCATGCTTACAAGTCCACATATGCTAGTAATTGTTTACAATTGAATCTGTATAAGCATGCTGTGTTCAGTTGTAAAAGCAAAAAAAAAACAAAAACAAAGAGAGAACAGAACATTAAAAAAGAAATTTTTCATAAACAACAATAAAGAGTGGATCCATCCTTCCCTGTGTCAATGGTTCAGGCTGGTGGGATATTTTCATGGGACACTTTGGGCTCCTTAGTATGAACTGAGCATCATTTAAATGTCACAGCCTACCTGAATGTTGTTGCTGCTGACCATCTCCATCTCTTTATGACCACAGTGTACCATCTTTTGATGGCTAGTTCCAGCAGAATATCACATTTTTATCATAAAGCTCAAATCATCTCAAACTTGAAAATAAGATCACTGTATTCAAATACACTCCACAGTGACCAAATGTCAATCCACAGGAGCACTTTTCGGATGTGGTGGACATCTGCCTGATCCAGTCATACCAAAATGATCCAAAATCTCTCAGGTGTGTCCAGTACCTTCTTGAATCTGTGTCATGATAAATTATGGGAGTTCTGAAAGCAAAAGGGGTTCAAACCTGCTACTGGCAAAGTGTAATGAAGAGTGTATGTGCTGTGAAGTAAAATCTCAGGCCTCAGACTGCTTGATAATTGTTGTGATCTTCTGCTTTGCCTAGTGTATAGTGTCACGGTCGCAGTGGCAGACCGTGTGGAGAGTGTGTGGAGGACTCAGGTGCAGACACAGGCGTGGACACGAAACTGGGTTGAACGAAAAGCGAGCCTTTTATTGTGGCTGATGAATACAAAAGAAGCAAACAAGAATAAGGGCAGCACAAGAGCAATAACTAAACAGAAACCTAAACTGGGAAAAACCTATGGTAAGACTATGACGTAGAATACAACAGACCGGGCATGGAAACACGGAGGGTGGGAACACAGACGACGCGACACAGACTGTAAGAAACACAGAGACTAAATACACATGAGGGATGATCAGGGGAAGTGGCCACACATGGGAACGCAGCTGACACACATGAACTTAACGACAGGACAGGAGGAGTGAGCTGAATACACAGACAGTGAATGCAGGCCTTCAAAGTAAAACAGGAAACACGAGACATGAACCGGGGAGACGTAGTACGGGGGGAGGTGACATAACTGACAGCATGAACTTGACAGTACAAGACACACAGACATAAACACACGAAGGGCAAGGGAGACGTAATGCAAGGGTAACATAATTACAAAAAGGGCTGGACTACCTTAAAGAACCTAAGCAAACAATAAACATCAAAATAGGTTAAGCATAACACACTGGGTCACACGACCCAGGACCATGACATATAGTTGTGCTACTTACCATGGATTCTTTAAGTATATATCGTATCAAAGAAGATAAAAACTGGGAAAGAGCCATCTGGAAACTGGACACATTTTTACCACTGCTAAGGGAATCTTTTATACAGCTGCTACGGCCATAAAAGAATTTCATTTGTCTGAGTTTCACTGGAGAATTTCAGTGACACGTGAATTCCCACTTGCTGAGACTTTTGTACTTTCACGGACATGAAATACATGAATGCTTACCAGTTGTTTGGAAAACACTAACATTTAAAGTATGAATTTTATAGAAATCAACTACACAAAATTTACAGGGAATAAATTGTGCTCCTTAGGGTTTATCACCAAGGTCTTTATGCAACTATCTTAGCTTTTGACATCATAACATTTTAATTTCTGCCTCTCATTACCTCGGTTCTGTGTTCCTACCTGATGCTCCAACAGCTTGAGATGCAAATTTCTTGGGGGCAATATACTATTATCTGTCCTTGATTATACTACCTTAATTAAGTCAGGTTAAATTACTTGGCTAAGTAAACCTCATAATGAAAAATCTTCAATCAATATCTATATTTTAGAAATTATGCCAACTTAATATCTGCCATAATTTTGCTAAAGGGTTTTTTAAAGGGTTTTTTTTTAACCAAAAGTGATGTCTCACTCTCACTGTTAGACAAACCATAATTAAACATCAGAGTCATTCCCTAATGTGTGACTTCACAGCAGCATCAAAACTAATGTGGCATTAATGCTGTGACAAGATCAATTAAAACAAACAGCACACATAGATAATAGGCTGCTGCTGCTTACTGCTTTAGACCTTTCAGTGTTTGTGTGATCGGGCATAAATTCTTATATGAATGCATGAATGCATAAGGACACATTAGCTGGCTTCCATCCACAAATACTTGCATGAATTTTTGTGCTAGTTTTAAGTGGAAATGAGTTGGAGGGTCATGGAGTTGGGAACTGCACAGAGGATGGAAATGCTCATATTTTTGGAGGAGCATGTAACTGACCTCGATTTCCCTGCAATAACTGAAGCTGTGTGGATAAACAGCCATTAAAATAGTCCCAGCTGTAATTACACAAAGCAGCTCAAATGACCGGCGGGCTTCCTTCCTGGATTCACTTACAGATTTAGACTCTTTGTAGGAGACAGAAGCAACAACTGCTGAACACAACGATGCAGCAAAGTGCTAAAGTACGGAGAGAAGGGCAGGGGGGTGGGCCCACCAGAAAGCTAAATTAAAAGAGAAGACAAACACAGAGCTCAACTGAAAGAAGCAGCCATGAGGTAGTCATTAGTCTTTCTGTTGGTCAAGCTGTTAAAGGCAAAGGAGCAAAGCGAAATGTGTGCAAGTCTAAGATTAAAAACCTGAAAGTGAAATCTTTCAAAGCCAAAAACTGCTAAGGCAAAAATTTTCTTAGTACTGGCTCAATAATGACAGTTTTTAACTGTGTAACTGAGTCAGTAGATCCAGCCTATTTGCCAGAAATACTCGTGACTAAAACACTAGTAACATAAGCCCAATTTATGAGCGGGATTTACAACAGCCGATAAATGAAAATTTAAAAAGCAGAAGTAGAACAGATGGAAGAAACATCCTTCAGTTTTGTTCACCAGAAAGAACTTTGCAACTTCTCCGTTGGAAACACTCCAAACAGCTGATCCAGGGGTAGAGGGTAAGCGAGTAAATAAATAACTTGACATAACTAATTTTAGGGAAAGATGTTTATGGTTTTTGTCATGAGGTGCACATCAGGTTGGTGAGAACAGAAATAATGAAACGCTCAACGTCACACCAGCTGAGTTGCTGAAGCAGTTTGTGGAGTT